CTGCTATTTTATGACATTTCCAAACATCAACTGAATAACTAGTCCAGGTAGTGTTTTCGAATCTGATTGAAAAAATATTTTTTACGTAATCTTATTCGAAAAATACCCCTTTTAACGAAGCTACATGGCGTCAGGCCCAAAATTGTTAACAATCCTTGTTGAATGAATTCTTAAAATTGTTTTTTTTGGTGTCAATCAAAGTGTTTTTAGGCCTTCTGATCAAAATATTTAACAATTAAAAAATAAAACAAACTTCAAGGTCTTGAAATGCGGATTTTGTTGGCACATGTTTGAAGAACATTTAGGAACCTTGGCGACATTAAAATTGGATAGTTTGCATTTTTTCAACTATTAAATCCCTTATATTTCTATCAGCTTAAAGACAAAAGTCATTAAGTAACTTTTTGGTTCAGAATGTGCTAAAAAAAGTAACGTTGGAGCGAGAAAAAAAACAATTTAGGAATTTGTTAAAAAAATGTACAATTTTTGACGTTATTTTGTGATTGGCAACATGCATATTCTGCATATTCGTTAAAAGAGGTGCTTTCTGAATAAGATTAAGCAAATAATTCGAATCAGAATATTTTTCCGGGTAGATTCGAAGATAGTTCCTGGACTAAATGTCGCGTAACATGTTTGTATTAAGGCATAGTTCGCAGGGGTATGCCGTGGCGGTGACTTGATTCACTGATCAACAGCCAAAAAATATCCTAAATAAAATCAACAAAATATTACTATTTTTAATGTGCTAAAACCGGAATGAAACTTATTTTTTCAATATTAGTTCAAGTTTTAGAGATACGGTAATTATATGTGTTCCTGCTGTGACAGTGTTAATATACTGTAATTCACAAGAATGCACGTGCTACATTTTTATATTCGGCAAGGAAAGATGATGTAATCGGCATGATTGTGTTACGTTATACATACGTGTACATTATATTGTTTTATATTAGCCATTTTTTCCTCAGTTGGCTGACAGCGCGTTCATGCAAGATGTCTCGAAAGTGTGTAAACAATCCAGATCAGTTTTGTTACGTGTGTGGTGACTTTTGCGTCTCAGAGACAGTCTATTACTCCACTAATAACAATGGCATGTCAGCTATATTTCGGTTGTAAACTAGGTGGTCAAGACAAACAGTGGACATCTGCTGTAATACATGTGCTTTAAGTCTGAGGAGCTGGTTAAATGGCAAAAAACGGTCTATGCGCTTTGCTGTCCCAATGGTTTGGAGAGAGCCTACAAATCATATTAATGATTGTTACGTTTGCATGGTACCTTGTGTTGGACAAGCCACAGGTATGTCCAAGAAAAAAAAATCGGTTATTAACTACCCAAACATACCATCTGCGATGAGACCTGTGCCTCACAGTGACGAAAATCCTATTCCAAAACCCCCAGAATCCTACACTTGCGAATCAGAAAACGAATCAGATCATGGCGATCGAGTGATTCGTCAGGAAGAAGATATGCCATCAACGTCAAGAGATCCTGATTTTATACCGAGCACGTCATGCCACCAACCGCACAAAATAACACAATCGGAATTAAATGATCTTGTAAGAGATTTAGAACTTCCAAAATGTAAGGCACAGTTACTTGGATCAAGACTGCAGCAGTGGAACTTGTTAGAAGACGATGTTTCGGTATGTGTTTTTCGTAAACGCCACAAAGACTTAGAACCATTTTTCAATATGGAGAATAACTTGGTTTTCTGCAGTAACATTAACGGCTTACTGGCGGCTTTAAATATAAACTATAACCCAGAGAATGGAGATTGTTTATAGACAGTTCAACATTGAGTTTAAAGGCAGTGTTATTGCATATGACAATATGAAGTACCTATTGACATGCAGAAAATACGATGAGCACCAATGGCATATTTGTGGCGATTTGAAAGTTGTTGCACTTTTACTTGGGCTGCAGCTAGGCTACACAAAGTTTTGCTGTTTTTTGTGTGAATGGGACAGTCGGGCAAAGGCACTTCATTACATCAGACAAAACTGGCCTGTTCGTCAATTCCTAGAGCCAGGTCAAAAAAATGTACAGCATATGCCATTAGTAGATTCGAAAAAAATTTATTACCACCACTGCATATCAAGTTGGGCCTAATGAAAAACTTTGTCAAGGCATTAGATGGAGATAGGTCAGCTTTTCAATACCTGCGTCAGAAATTTCCAAGACTAAGTGAGGCAAAGGTTAAAGAAGGTATTTTTGTTGGGCCACAGATTCGAAATATTTTGAAAGATACACAGTTTGAAAACACTTTAACAGGTATTGAAAAACTGCTTGGAATGATTTCCGTCTGGTGGTCACCAATTTCTTGGGAAATAGAAAAGCTGACAATTGTAAAACCCTTGTCAAAAATATGTTGTCATCGTATCAAAAGATGGGCTGTAATATGTCTCTTAAGATACATTTCCTACACTCACACCTGGACTTTTTTCCTGACAATTGCGAAGCCGTAAGTGATGAGCACGGCGAACGTTTTCATCAGGATATTTCAACAATGGAAAAAAGGTACCAGGGAAAGTGGAATCCTTCCATGCTTGCAGACTACTGTTGGACTCTTGGTAGAGATGCTCCAGAAACGATCCATAAAAGAACAGCAAAAAGACAGCGCATATAGTGATTCTTATAAGTATATGAATCTTGTTACTTTTTTTAATATATCCTTAAAAATAAAAAGTTTTTTTTCTAAACCGCAACTAATTTTTTTATTTCATTGTCATTTTTGGATTCAGCGCCAGAAAATTAACAAAGAGGCGCACTTTTCCCATAAGATAAAATTAAAAAACTAAAATTTGTTGTCCAGTGATTTGAACGTAGAAAAAATAGACGTAAGTAGATTGACTCTGCACTTTCCATGCAATACCGTCATCAGTCCACAAAGGGAGAAAAGCACTTCGCAGCCCTAAAAAAATAGCCTAGCTCCTTACCAGCTATTGACGAGATGTGTTCATGTCAGATCAAGTCGTCTGTGATATTCTTTTTTTTCCAGCTCACCGGCAGAGATCGGCTTGTCACTCTGAACGACTGCATGTAGAGTGCTGTCATCCGCATGAGCCTCACCATAAGACTGGATGAGTTTACTCCACAATCGACCAGAACCTTTGATGACCTCGAGAGAGAATAGCACCAGTCTTACGGTCTTGTGGCTATAACATTTAGATTTACTCTATAGTTGTAGGTATTTTCTGTTATCTACGGTGGTTTGTGGAATTCTCGTCAGCTTTCAAAGATTGTCAACTTTTTAAAGGTTTGTTGTTTAAAAAAATTACAAATCTACCCTGAGTTCACTAATGCACTTTTTGTAGGGGATAACTGTTATACTAAGTGACATATAAATCCGAACACCCAGTTTAAATGGTTTATTTTAATAAAAGTTGGTGAATGTATTTATCTTACTGTAAATAACAAGTGAAAAAATTTTCAGCCTTATCAGTTGGACATTCCGGTTTTTATACTGCTTTTTTTTAATTCACTAACGCTCTAAAAATGAATATTTCAGCCGCAGTAAAGAATCAACGTTAGCGGATTTTGGTTCTTGACATCCTTTACGATCGGTTACGATGCCTAGAGTACGGAGACCTGTACGATTTCGTTAACTTAGTGAGTTTGATAGGGGCCGTATAGTGGGACTTCGGAAAGCTGGACTTTCTTTTCGGGCAATTGCAGTTAGAGTGCAAAGAAGTGTAGACACTGTGGTTAGGTGTTGTCATGCATGGTTTCGAGAAGGCCGTACGCAAAGAGCAAGGGGCACTGGACGCCGCCGTAGAACAACAGACCGTGAAGATTGCCGCCTAAGATTATTGGCCTTAAGGGACCGTTTCTCCACTACCAGGTCCATTGCAAATGAATGGTTTGCAGAACACGGAAGACCTATTGGCATGCGAAGTGTTTACCGACGAATGAGAAGTTTTGGCTTGTTTTCATACCGGCCACACTGGGTCCTCCCTTTAACTCGAGAACACCGACGTAATCGCCTTGAGTGGTGCAGACAACGGTCACTCTGGGATCAGGAATGGAACAGTGACAAGTCTCGATTTTGTTTAGGCATGCACGATGGTCGTGCCAGGGTTAGAAGGCGACGTGGTGAAAGGAGGAATCCACAGTTTTTTGTTGAAAGACATGTTCATCACACTGTTGGAGTTATGGTTTGGAGTGCTACAGCTTATGGTTCCAGGTCACCTTTAATCTTCATCAGAGGTAACATGAACGCGCAGCGTTATATCCACGAAGTTCTAGAACCCCATCTTTTACCCTATCTTGACATCCTGGCAGGTCCAACTTTCCAACAAGATAATGCCCGACCACATGTTGCAAGAGTCACAATAGACTTCTTTCAACATAATGATGTCACATTGTTACCATGGCCACCAAGATCTCCCGACTTATCCCCAATTGAGCACGTGTGGGATATGATGGGTAGGAGATTGCTCAATTTGCAACGTCCTCCTCAGACTCTAGAAGCACTTCGATAAGAGTTGGTGGTTGCCTGGAATGACATACCACAGGAGGACATTGACCACCTGATCAGAAGCATGCCTAGGCGCGTTTGGAGAATGCGTAGCACATTAGGGTGCATCCACACATTATTAAAGGTCAAACGACTTTAAAGCAGTGCAATCATTTTGAAATTTTTATCATTTACTTATTATGCTTCATTAAGTACTTATACAAAATTTTATTAAAATAAAACCATTTAAACTGGTGTGTTCGGATTTATATGTCACTTAGTATATTATTTGGACTGAGAAACGTAAAAAAATCTACGCTGAAAAAATGTTGTAGATAGATATTCTGATTACCCTCGTTATATGGTGTTTTGAAACAAAACACAGTTTACTTTGAAAAGTGAAATGACAAACTGAAACGTTTGGCGTTTGCATTTAAAATTTGACATTTTTTGTCTCGAAAAGGTGTAAATCTATGTAAACAGAACACTTTTGCAACGTTACTTGTATAACATCACAGTATCTATTTATCCTAAAATCGAATGAGTGAAAACAAAGTGCGACAAAATTTTATTCAGAAAAGAAATCAAATCTATGAAAACACCGGGCATTAGTTGGAACTGAACTCTTCCAAGTAGCGCGGTAAGTGTTACAAGTATTAAAGTAGTAGACTGAATTTCATAGGAACGAAAACATGATGATCAGATGATTAGGTTTGCACGATTTGGACTGTACTAGGGACTTAATACACGGTGGCGCATCGAAAACGAAACAGACGCATTTACTGGCAGTTCATTTTTTTTTTGGAAAAACGCTCAGACCCGTCGATTTTGTTTTCGAGGGGGACACAAGTTTGGCAAAAAATCACGTTAACGTACAGCCCCCTGGGCGGGGGTGACACCACCCCCAAAATCTTAAATGGAAAGGGGGGTCGAGTGATACCTTATTTTAAAGGTCTTTCAATTCCCTTTATGATTATGTAAAATTAATGTACTTCAGTTCAGTGGTATTGAAGATTTATTGATTTAAAGCTTAACGTAGACTTTAATAGGTACATCAGATTAGTTTGTACTACTTTCAGAAGAAATTTGACTAAAAGAATTTACTTAATAAGTAAAAGCTTTTCTTCACTACGCCCATGGTTTGTTTATCATTTTGTTGTTGAAAATAGCTATTGGAGCGTTTTTTATGGCAAACATTATTTCTTGAAGAAAGATAAGGAAATATCTCGTACTTATTTTAAATACGAATTTAGTACATAGTTTGCGATTGAATTGACCAAACATAGTTGCTAAAATAACTTAATAATAATAATAATAATCCTTTATTATCCAATAGACATAGGTATGCATAGGATTCGTCAAAAATAAAAAATCTATAACAATCATGGAAAATAAGTAACAAACAAATATGAGAAACAAACATACCATCTACTCATTAACAAACTCTGAAACAGCGTACAAACATTTATTTAATAAAAAGGCCTTTAACCTATTTTTAAAATGTTGCAGTGAACTGCAGATTTTTATTTCTTCTGGCAGTTTATTATATATTTTAGGCCCCAAAACTCTAGGTGACCTACTACCGACACAGTATTTGGCGAAAGGAACATACATATTTTGGCCATTTTCAACATCTACTTGCCTAACGGGTCAGTTCATTCTTCATTTTTAAATTACTTTGCTGCCAAATGTATTGCTCTCCACTAATGATGATGTGTTACTTTTTTTTAAGCTTTAAATCAATAAATCTTCAAAACTACTGAACTGAAGTACATTCATTTTATATCATTATAAAGGGAATTGAAAGATCTTTAAAATAAGGTATCACTCGACCCCCCTTTCCATTTCAGATTTTGGGGGTGGTGTCACCCCCGCTTAGGGGGCTGCACGTGCTAACGTTATTTTTGCCAAACTTGTGTCCCCCTCGAAAACAAAATCGACGGGTCTGAGCGTTTTTCAAAAAAAGAACTGAGCTGCCAGTAAATGCGTGTTTCGTTTTCTACGTGCCACCCTGTATATGACGATGTATGGTTATCGAATAAAATCTAACCAATGTTTGAATAATGAGACATGCATTTCTTTGCTTTTGTCACTTCCTTTTATGTATTAGTTGTATGACTGATGGGAAAAAGTTGATTAAACATACAGCGTGCGACAAAAGTTCCGGAACGGCTCTCTATTTTCTCGGATAAGGTATGCTTGACTTCAGTCACTTGAAATAGCATAAAAACCTTTGGTCGGCGCGTCCTTTGTAATTTCATGACGTATCATAGGCGTGCGGTCATTTATTTATAACGATAATAATAATGTTTTTATATCACAATAAATGGATTTTACTATCTTCTTATTTTTTTGATTTGGGATAAAAAATACTTATATTGGAAGTTTAATTTATGTTGACTGAAAGTTAAGAAATAGAAAAATTACAGAATTCCAACGTTTGACATAGGCAAATATTTACATAGCAGGTAGGTATATAAAAAGGTATATAAAGACTTACATTATAGGTACATATTTATATATCATCCTCGCCTTCGGAGCTGTCGCTAGAGTCATCTTGTAGAGGAATTACAACGGGATTTACAGGAGGCAAAACACAATATTCATTTTCTTTTTCAATAATATGCCTAGAACACTGCTTCCATAGGTCTGTGGCAGCAATATGAGATACTGCATCTCTTATTGTGGCCAATAGCGATTCACTTAATTGAGGGGTCTGATTATGTTTTCTTACTTTTTTTTTAAAGCAGCCCAGACCAACTCAATCGGGTTAAAAATGCAGTAATAGGGAGGTAGACGTAATACTTCATGGCCATTTTGCTGAAGCAGATTGTCAACAACATACTCTTTTTCAAATTTTTGTCTTTTAATAAGATCCAATAATATGGCTTTGGTTGATTTTTGTGGTATTTCCATTCCCTTATCCTTCATAAAATCAATAATGTCTTGATTTTTTGTGACTGTATTCTGAATTTCGTTTTTCTGTCGGGAATGGTATGGCGCATTGTCCATAATAATCACTGAATTTGGGGAAATGTTTGGTATTAACTGCTGCTATATCCACTTTTCAAATAAGTCGGAGGTCATGTCCTCATGATAGTCGGCACATGATTCTTTGATATTTTTGGCAGATAACAGCAAGGCATTAGGTATAAATCCATTTTCACTGCCAGCATGGAGAATAATGATTCGTTTTCCCCGGTTGCATGGTGCATTTAAAATGCACTTGTTGCTGTCGTCAACCCAGCCGTACTGCACAACATCATGGGTATCATACCACGTTTCATCCAGGTAAATCAGATTTCTTTTCTGCTCTCTATAGATTTTAACTTTGTGCAAAAATTCTTGGCGCAATTCAACGATTCGAGACGACTCCATAATCACCATTCTTTTATCTAATTTTTTGTATTGAAAACCACACAGTTTTACAATACAGTGCAGTGAGTCTAAGCATTTGTAATTATAAAAATCTTCAGGATAATCTTTTAATTTAACCCGTATCATTTCCAACGTGGGCACCAAATTTTCTTTATAAAATCCGTATATTATACGACGAATATCTTCCTGAAAACCCACGTCTATTCTTTTTAATTTTTGCCCTATGCGCTTTCTGTGGAAGGAATGGTTGACTACATCTCCTCTTTTTATAACCCGATAAATGGTAGACCGACTGATTTTTGTCAGGATACAAATTCTGTTTAAAATTTGATTTTGCGAGGAACCTGGATTTTCGTTTTTCAGACAATCATACATATTTAGGATTACTCTTTGGGTCTGTTCCTCTAAATTTTTATGAAAGAATTCTGCCTGCACAGGTTCATCAACCATCTCCTCGTGGCTTGGAGCATTTTCCCAAGGTCTCCAAAGAGCCATATTTAGGACACACAAGAACAATCAACACAACAATTAAATCAACAAGTAAACTGAGTATTCAAAAGTCAAAAACACACAAACTAATAAAATCTATGAAAAAACACGGACAAAACACGTTTATTCACCGCTACACGGCACTGGCTAAACTGTTTCAATTTTCAGTAGCCACCTGCACTTGTTCGGAGCTCTGAAATACACGCTTTCTCATTGGCTATGTCGACGCATAGGCGTGCTTCACTCCACGTGGACCGGTGAAACTGCCTTTGATCTTATACGGGGGATATTTGCTGCGAAATTTGGCGATTTTTGCAGCAACAGAGCGTGTTAATAATAATAATAATAATAATAATATTTATTTACTCTAAAATACAGGGAACATGAAACGAGTAAATAAATATAATATATCCATAGGAGGACAACGCCTGTGCATGGATCATATGTATGTTGAATTGCAAAATATAATAAAATAGAGAGAACAAAGAAATTATTGGTAAGAATGGTAGAGCATTTATTGTGTAATACTTGAGATTATTTTATTAATTTGATTTCTCCCAATCGTGTTAATAAATTTTTTTAATTTTTTTTTGAAGCCTAATGTATTGCGTAATTGTTTTAAATTATTTGGTAAATGTTCGTACAATTTTGGAGCTATATACAGGTGACATCGTTTCATTAGGGATTTGTTTGGTTTAGGAACATTTTTTGCGCGTAATTTATATCTGGTTTTATGATTATGTTTAATTATGTCGTGTTCACTAATAGTTTTGTGATAATGAGTGATGGTATGTAAGAAGTAAAGTTGTTTAGTATCATATACTTGTGCATCATTATATAAGTCATTAGTTGGGTATAATTTTGATTTGCCTAACATTGATTTTAAAATTCTTCTTTGAAGTACATCTAAATCGTTAAAGTATGTCGTGCATGCAGCACCCCACACTACTATACCATATTTTATGTGTGGCTCGATTAAAGCTTGATATATTATTCGTAGATAATATTCAGTTAATATACCGGTTAGAAATTTTATTTTATATGCTATGAATCTAATTTTCTTTAGTATGTGAGAAATATGTACATCCCATCTCAAGTGGGGATCTAGATAAATTCCTAAATATTTTGTATCATTAACTCTATTGATTTTTATATTTTTATCATTTACCTTAAACCGAAGGTGGTTATATTTTGGTAGATGATTAGATAGTGATGAAATGGTAAAAAATGAGTTTTAGTAAAGTTAATTGTTAATTTCCGGTTATTAAACCACTGAATAATTTTGCAAAAGTCATTTTGGATAATATCTTTTAAGTCGTTCCAATCCTTACCTTTATAGAGTATAGCAGTATCGTCTGCAAAACTGACTATTTTACCAGTACTGTTAATTTTGAATATATCGTTTAAATAAATATTGAATAACAGAGGACCCAAAATTGTACCTTGTGGAACACCACATTTAACAAACATTTCTTTACTATACGAGCTTAATAATTTTACTGATTGCGGTCTATTTGATAAATAATTTTCCATTAAAGTATACATCTTTCCACGAAAACCTATTCTTTCTAAGATTTTCAAAAGTATATTGTGGTTAACTGTGTCAAACGCTTTTTGTAAGTCCACAAATACGCATATCGATGGTACTTTTCCATCTATATTTTGGGTTATTTCATCTACTATACTTAATACCCCATCTGTTGTAGATTTGCCCGCTATAAAACCATATTGATTTGAATTTAGAATTTTGAATTTATTAAGAAAATTAATCATTTTATTAAGGAGTAATTTCTCAAAAACTTTAGCTAAACTTGATATAAGTGAAATAGGTCGATAGTTAGTGACGTCCGTATTATCATTAGATTTATAGATAGGTATGATGATTGCTGTCTTGAAAGCTGATGGAAATACTCCAGATTGGAAGGATTTGTTAATGATATAAGCAAGTGGTTCTGTTATTTGTTTGGCCAGTATCTTTAGATGTTCAGCTCTAATTTCGTCAACTCCAGGGCTTTTTTTATTTTTTAGAGTCATAATGGCATTGAAAACATCCTGATAGTCTACTTCAGTTAATACAAATGAATTATTCAGTCTTGTTTCATGCAGATGAATATCAGCATTTTGTTTGATATTATTTGCTAAGTTTCCTCCTATATTCGTGAAAAATTCTATGAACTCATCACATATTTGCTGAATATTGTCTGTTTTCTGTCCTGTTTTTGTTTTTATTTCATTAATATTGTTTTTGAATAGGATGACTTATTGAATATATCATTGACAGTGGACCATAGGTGTCTAGAGTCATGTGAATTATTATTCAATTGTTTTATATAGTAATTTTTTTTTGCTTTTCTCAAAAGTTCTATAAATTTGTTTTTATACTGATTATAATGATCTATATTTTCTTTCGTGGGTAAATATTTCATGATTTTATACAGTTTTTCTTTTTCGTTTGCAGATTTTATTAGTCCTTTGGTCATCCAATCATTTCTGCTTTTTTCCTTGTGACTTATTTTAACCTTATTAGTACTAACTGCAATTACTTTTTGAATTTTGTGTATTAATAAATTTGTAGCTTCGTCTAAAGAATTTGTTAAAAAAATTTCGTCCCACGATTCCGTTTGTGCGTTAAATATTAATTTTGAGTTGTCAGTGAAATATTTGTATTCAAGGTTCCTTTCATTTTTTGCCCTTGGGCAGTTCTGGTTTTTATTTTGTGAAGATATCAATAATACAGTGGAATAATGATCTGTAATATCGGTTTCATAGATAATAGGTATGTAAGAAAAATATTGGAAATATCCTTTATAAAGCAGTGATCAATGCAGGTTTTACTGGTGGGTCGTGTTACTTTATTTATGTATGATAAAAAGCCATTACTTGATAAAATGTTTAAATATTCTTTCACCATAGAATTTTCCTCTAAAATGTTTATATTGATGTCGCCTATAAATATTTGATTATGAAGGTGATTGTTTTCATTGTTTTTTAATAGTTCATCTATGTCTCTTATAAATGTATGAGGATCTGAAGATGGTGGTCGGTAAACACAGTAATTTTGACTCTACGATTTTCAATTTGCATTGTTAGATTGATACCTTTTAGTTCATTGTTGATTGTAAATATGGTATGTTTATAAGGCAGATTGTTTCGTACATACACCATCACTCCATCGTTTTGATTATGGTTACCAAAATTATACAATGTATCGTACCCTTCTAAATGAAACAGAGTCACATCGCCCACTTGCCATGTTTCGGATAGAATGATTATATCTATATCACTTTGTATTCTTTTCAAAATTAATTTAAAGTAGTCAAAGTTATGTTTTATACTTCTGATGTTCATATGATAAATTCTAACAGATATTTCAGGATTTTGTAAAAAGAATCTAGCTCGCTAGTATCATGAGCAGTATTAGTACTAATACGTTGAATTTGGAAGTTATTTACATAGTCGTGTGTCATGAATGATGCAATATTCTAAATTTTTTTCTAAAATTTCTTCTTTCTTAAAAAAGGATTTTCAAGTTGTACTGCTGTTGATAATATAGAAAAGTTGGACATTTTTTATCTAATGGTGAGTGGTTGGTACTATAATTTTTGTTATATCTATAGTTTGAAAATTTGCAATTACAACATACAACCGGTTCATGCTTACAACAGTCAGTATCGTGTACATCCTCTTTGCTGCAGTTGGTACAGGTCTTGTTATTGCGGCATTTTTTCTCGGTGTGATTGAAGCGAAGACACTTCTTGCATTGCGTTATTTCGTTATTATCATACACTGGTAAACATTGCCATCCAAGAAGAATTTTTCCATTGTTATCTTCAAATATTGTCTTGAATAATTTGCCAGAAATGTCTGCAAATAATGTGTAACATTTTTTCGATGGGAGATACTTTACATATTTGATTTTGATGTCATCTTTTTCAATAAAATGATTTTGTTGGATAAGATCTAATTCTATGTCTTCTTCATGTGGTTTCTCCGTGCATCTATAATTGACAATTTTGATCTTCGGTCTAAACATTGTAGGTTCTGTGATTTTGTATTCATCTCCTAATTTCTTTTCGAATTCAGTTTTGAGTGTGTTGTGGTGTTCCTCAGCCAGTTTAATTATAATTCCTCCATTTTTAGAATTTCGTATATTTTCTATTTGTATTTTCAAATCCGTAAGGCTAATTTTTTTGTTAAGGTCTTTTCTCGTTTGTTCAGATGTTTGGATACCATTTGGTGTGACAATTATGTTCTTCATTGGGTCTTTCTTGATTGTTGGAGTATCTCGCTTTAGTACTTGGGCATATGATTTCTCTTTAATTTTTAAATATAGATATATAAAACGCACCCGGTATTTCACAGTGTTTCAAGTGACTTCAGATAAAGTATATTTTTGGAAAAGATCAATGCCTCTAATTTCGCTATTCATTCGACCATACTGCATAGAGATTCATGTATTGTTGCTAGACAAAAAATGGCGGATGATGAGAAATCCCAAAGAAATTCGACCGACAAAGTAAAGGAGGAAGACGAAACGAGTAGCTTGGATACAGTGAAGAAAGCAGAGCCGTCTGAAAAACATATCTATTGTCAGATCATTGGAAGGCATAAGCGAGGAAATTCTAGAAAAGGTACCAACAGCTTGTTTCAAACGGCCAATTGACTACAAATTATTATTCTTTAGGTGCATGAAACCAAGCCTTCGTTAGAGAAAGTATATGATGGAAAGATCACCGTAGAGTCAAAAATCGCGCTGGAGAAGCATGAAATAGATAAAGAGAAGGTAAGGTTGGTTTAACGATTCGGAGGTGGTTTTACTGGGGTAATGAAGCTTCATCATCATGAGAATGTTTTGTTTTTATGGTTTTTTTCGGAAATCTTTGAGAAAAATACAGGGTGGCCCAACGAAACGGTCGCACCCCCCCATGTGTGGCTATTCTGGTATATTTTGGGCCAAAACTCTCGGACACGTCAGTTTTAGATTCTTGGAGGACGTATTTTCATTTATTACACTTTAAATTTTTAAATGGAAACCCCATTTTTTTAATTTTTGGATGTTCCATGGTAACTTTGGTATAATCGATGTGAAGCTATTTGAGTTTATAATAAAATTCAAGAAAGGGTAGAAATAACAAAACTGTATTACCAAAATGGGAGCATTGCAAGAGCTACATATACTACTCAGGTGATAACAAGTCGCTTTAAACTTGCGTATTTAAGTAATCAACATAATGTTGATTAGAAAGTTTTGAAAAGCGAAGTACTTCCAGTGAGAGACGGAAAAAAAAGAATTTTCCCATAATCGTTTAAATTTTTTCCTGACTTTATTTGTAGTGGGATTTCAAAATAAATTGGATATCACTTGTTCTCTACAAGATGACATTATTAGAATTTCAATAAGACGTATCGTCCCTTGACCTCCAGGATCAACTTTCTTTGTTCTTATGCACACCATATTTCATTGTTGCACAGATGAAGAGTTTTTCATTCCGATTCTAAAAATGTATAACACGTCATACATTGACGTTGTCAATCAGGGTTGAAAAAATATTTTTTTTAAACAAAAATCATGTTTTTTTGTTTAAAACATTCAAATTTAGTTGAAAAAAACATGTTTAAAATAGTGTTAATACATGTTTAAAACAGCAAAATAAATTGTAAAACCAATGCCTATGTAATCTAGCAACGTTAATGAAGTTTCTTGAAAGTGTTATTAGTATACTAAGTGACATATAAATCCGAACACCCAGTTTAAATAACAAGTGAAAAAATTTTCAGCCTTATCAGTTGGACATTCCGGTTTTTATACTGCTTTTTTTTAAATCAGTAACGCTCTAAAAATGAATATTTCAGCCGCAGTAAAGAATCAACGTTGGCGGATTTTGGTTCTTGACATCCTTTACGATCGGTTACGATGCCTAGAGTACGGAGACCTGTACGATTTCGTCAACTTAGTGAGTTTGATAGGGGCCGTATAGTGAGAAGCTGGACTTTCTTTTCGGGCAATTGCAGTTAGAGTGCAAAGAAGTGTAGACACTGTGGTTAGGTGTTGTCAGGCATGGCTTCGAGAAGGCCGTACGCAAAGAGCAAGAGGCACTGGACGCCGCCGTAGAACAACAGACCGTGAAGATCGCCGCCTAAGATTATTGGCCTTAAGGGACCGTTTCTCCACTACCAGGTCCATTGCAAATGAATGGTTTGCAGAACACGGAAGACCTATTGGCATGCGAAGTGTTTACCGACGAATGAGAAGTTTTAGCTTGTTTTCATACCGGCCACACTGGGTCCTCCCTTTAACTCGAGAACACCGACGTAATCGCCTTGAGTGGTGTAGACAACGGTCACTCTGGGATCAGAAATGGAACAGTCTTTAGTGACGAGTTTCGATTTTGTTTAGGCATGCACGATGGTCGTGCCAGGGTTAGAAGGCGACGTGGTGAAAGGAGGAATCCAGTTCTTTGTTGAAAGACATGTTCATCACACTGTTGGAGTTATGGTTTGGGGTGCTATAGCTTATGGTTCCAGGTCACCTTTAATCTTCATCAGAGGTAACATGAACGCGCAGCGTTATATCCACGAAGTTCTAGAACCCCATCTTTTACCCTATCTTGACACCCTGGCAGATCCAACTTTCCAACAAGATAATGCCCGACCACATGTTGCAAGAGTCACAATAGACGTCTTTCAACATAATGATGTCACATTGTTACCATGGCCACCAAGATCTCCCGACTTATCCCCAATTGAGCACGTGTGGGATATGATGGTAGGAGATTGCTCAATTTGAAACGTCCTCCTCAGACTCTAGAAGCACTTCGAGAGCAGTTGGTGGTTGCTTGGAAGAATGAGATATCACAGGAGGACATTGACCACCTGATCAGAAGCATGCCTAGGCGCGTTTGAGAATGCGTAGCACATCAGGGTGCATCCACACATTATTAAAGGTCAAAGGGCTTTAAAGCAGTGCAATCATTTTGAAATTTTTATCATTTACTTATTATGCTTCATTAAGTACTTATACAAAATTTTATTAAAATAAAACCATTTAAACTGGGTGTTCGGATTTATATGTCAGTATAAAATTAATTTTAATCATACTAAAATATAAAAACAACTTGAATAATTCACAAACGACAAACAAAAAACAGTGTTTAAAACAAATTGGTTTAAAACAGTGTTTAAAACACTTGTTTTAAACATTTTGATTAAAACATAACAAGCCCGTTGTCAAACCTTAGTTATTTCAAAAAACTAATCAGAATTTCCTAGGTAGGCATTGATACCAGATTTATCCCAAAATCACTTTTTTGACTTTATTTGAGGCGAACTTTCAAAATAAATTGACTATAAACTTTGTGTAAAACAATGTAGGGCAACAGTGAACACGAAGTCGTTTCAACTCCATCGTTGGACCCCAGCATGGCTACGGTAGGAGAAAGTCTCTCCCCAGCTACTTTTGAGAAAGGCATGAAAGCAGGATCTGAAAGGATCGTTCGCAATCAGAGTGATATTTTCTCGTTGAAGACACAAACTAGCGTCGAATCGTCGATATTCTCGGTGAACGGCTCGCCTTCCAGAAAGGTAGTAAGTGAATCAAACTGTTCCTCAATAACTCCGTTTAAAAAATGACATCGAGCAGGTTAATCGAAATAAGACGCCACTAAGTACCAGAATCGAACGCTGAGAAAGTGAAAACAGCAAGCTGCATGTTGGAACTGTATCACAGTTCTGCCGGGTCACCACCCTGGCCGCTAGATGCCGCCGATTCTGGTGATATGGGGCCGTTCAAGTATTACGTGAGCACTATGGGGGGGCGGGGGGTCTTTGCTTTGCTTATTTTGGATGAGTAGGGAGTCTAGATGATGATTACGTCATCGCTGGTTATTACTTTTTTACACGAATGGCAACCCTCACATTGTCTTTGCTTGAAAACGAAACGAATATTCGGGGATTCCCGCAAATAATGCATACGTTTAGTGAACAGCGCGCGGTAATTCTCCTACTCGCTTTAGAACCGAGTAGGGGAATTACCGCGCGGTGTTCACTTGTCTAAATTTCCTCTATCAGTGTATTGTTTCGTTTTGAAACTAAAGCGAATAGACGTATTGTAAGCATAGTAAAGCAAGTTAAGATTTGTGTTGCCATCGATTCCATTATCCAAAGTTTAATGTTTAAATAAGATGTCGTTTCACATAGACAAATCCAAGTTATACCAAACATTGTTTGAAAGTTTTAAAAAATCTCATACAAGTACGAAAGTACAAAATGTGCAAAAGTTAGTTAACGAAGTGTGGCGAAATTACAAATTACAAGCAGAATCCAATAAGGAACTAGATATTGTAACTAAGAGAATCGAAGAAGAATTGCAAGCGGCGACTAAGAATGAATCCAATCTACTAAATCTTTTTCTAAGGTGAGTGACGAAATCATTTTAAGTACTAGAAATATTAGAAATCGCCAAAAAGTTTCTCTTTACTGATTAGAAAATATTATGGCCTATCTCAAAGTATAGAGGTAATATTCATTATATTATAGATTTATTTCTTATGATTGATTCCGTCAATTGGTCACAAAGTACAGGATGTTAGTTTTATACATATTTACAGAAAACACCCTGTATTTTGTGACCGGAACGAATTGCAAGTTTAAACATATTAGATTTAAAGCCATAGGGTTTTGTATTTACCATATATATTGCCATACTTTGTATTTATGTAGCTTAATAAGAGAATCTTTAGCAGAAGACATAGAAAGTTTTTATTTCTAGGCAACCTGTAAACCTGCAGAAAAAAACACAAATTATACAGTCAGCTTCAAATATTAAAAAAGAGGAAGAAGATAAAATAAAACCCGGTAATGAATCACAACAGCAATGCGAGATTAATGAAAATACAGATAAACAGAGAGCAAAACCTTCTCAGGAGCTTTGAAAAATCAGATTGCTCTACTCAAAAAAAATCTGAATGCTTTGTATATACTATACTATGCCAACCCGTGCAGGAGTTGATAAACAGATGATTAAGTTGCGCGGGGAAATAAAAACAGCAAAACAGTCTTTCAACAGGAAAGTTTAAAACGTAGTTGCCCAGAAGAAACACAGGGATGGTATGAAAAGAAAGTTAGAAGATATTTGTCATGAAAATCCAGAAATAAAAAAAAGACTATCTCTGAGGGATTCAGTGGGATGTCCTAATCTTGAAAGCAATCAACATTCACTATCGAAAACAATCGCGGATATAGCTTTATTTGGGAGTGCAGCAGATGATAGAAGACGACGGAATCAATTCGCAGCGTAAAAAACTCTTGATGAACTCACACAAGAATTACGTAAAATAGGATTTGACATTAGTAGCAGTGGGACATATCTTCGTTTGATTCCCAGAAAATCTAATTCTGCAGAGGGACGAAGACATGTATCGACAGTCCCTGTTAAGCTCATTCGGGCTCAAACTGATCAACACAAGAAGCCACTTAGATAGCAAGTTCGCTGAAACATCAATCCATTATTTAGAGAACATAGCATCCATACTTGGACCAGATCAAGTATTTTTCGTATCTCAAGATGATAAAGCTCGAGTCCCTATTGGCGTAACTGCGGCAAATAAGCAAGCACCTCTTCTAATGCACATGGAATATAGAATCAAATTGCCTGATCACGATTGGGTAATCGCTGAGCGTCATAAATTAATACCATCTGTTTATGCTGGTATCAAAATCACTTCCAATATGCTAGGACAACCGAAGCCGTTGGATATTCTGGTCCAACATACATCGCTATTCGAAGTGGAAAGCCTAGTTCATCTACTGCTAATACTCATGCTCAGGATTTCTTAGACGCTTCTCGAACTTGAAGAGTTTCGACCATTAGCCAAAACTGACCATGGACTAGTAAAACCAGTGGTAATCATGACGGTTGATGGAGGGCCAGATGAAAATCCACGTTATCAAAAAGTCATAGGGTTTGCTATACAACACTTTAAGCGACATGATCTCGATGCATTGTTTTTAACTACCAATGCTCCTGGAAGAAGTGCGTATATTTTGGGTCTCATTTGGATGAACGTGGCATTATAATTGATGAACATTTAGAAAGATCTAATTTCGAATTTGCAGGAAGTGTATTAGCTGAAGTATGGAGTTCAACGGAAATTGATGGCTATAATGTTACTGCAAAATTTGTTGGGGCAGGTGAACAAGATCTTCCTGATTTTCCAGACATTAAATGGTATTCAGAACATGTGCGTGAGAGCCAATACTTGCTTCAAATTGTAAAATGTAGAAACACAGAACGCTGTCGTCCAAGAAGTGGTCTATTTAGATTAGTAGACAATAGGTTTTCTTCCACCACCTGTATAAGTAAAACAAACAGTTGATGACTTGGTTTTGGATGAAGGAGTGCAATTTCTTAATCTTCCAGTCAATTTAGCTCTACGCTTAAGTGCTTCACTCAAAGATTTCCTGCAAATGCCCACGATTATTTTTGTCTGATGGTAATATTGAGGCTATCAAGTCGAACCTGCAAACGTGTGGTCTCTAACATGTTTCCGTCAAGTCACTAAATCGTCACATCGAAAATATCCATAAAAAAGTAAACACGCACACTGATAGGAGAGTTAGACCTGTAAGAGTCGCTGCTCGTCGTGCTAATGAACTGATGGGCATTATTTAAAATTTAGAGCACCATGATCTTGAATGGCTCGATGAGAACGACGTACACATTCCAAAATCCGATGAAAGCGAGCAAACTCACAACACTGAGCAGCAATCGAAGCAATCCAATGTCATCGAAAACTTAGACTCATGGATTCGGGTTTCATGGACTGAAGACTGTTAATTTGAATTTAATATACGTACCAAAAATTTAAAATAAGTTTGTTATGTTAGTAAGCTATAATATTTTTGTCCTTTCCTCTATGTTTAATACAGTATCAGTAAAATATAATCTCTATCCTAAATCTATTTTCTTATTTTTCAAATTATAATTATAACGTTATAATGATAATATTAAAAAAAACAATACATTAATTGACAAATGTTTACGTAAGCATGGGGGAGGGGGTAAGAGCTTTGCTTACTTTTGCTGACAAGGGGGATGGGGGGGGTAAATAATTGTAATAAGTCTGCTTACGTAATACTTGAACGGCCCTTATAGTAGATAATGTAAATTTGAGATAAAGGTAGTTTTTGCCGTAAGAGCCTCTTAGATAGTGAAGTCCTGCTAACGGACTTTTATACGAAATCATAAGATTCTTTGACAAGATTTATACAGGGTGGCCGATATGTAACTGACTTTGTATCTTGAACATTTGTGAAATGAAATAATACACGTCCATTTTTTTCATCTTAATCTTTTATTGGAACTTATGTATGAAAAGATAATATCAAACAAATGTCCGGCTCTAGAAGCCTCGCAAACCTGACTCCTCTTTCGCTTTTTGGTAGGTTTCGGGAGGAATATTTTCAATCGCCTCCGTAATATTGTTCTTCAGCTGCTCTACAGTATTTGGTTTGTTGTCATAAACCCTATTTTTCAAAAATGCCCATAAAAGAAAGTTAAATCCGGTGACCTTGGTGACCAGTTGATATCACCAAATCGAGAAACTAAACGTCCCGGAAGTATTGGTCGCAAAATAAACTAGGTGATCAAGACAAACAGTGGGCACCCCACATCTGCTGTAATACATGTGCTTCAAGTCTGAGGAGCTGGTTAAATGGCAAAAAACGGTCTATGCGCTTTGCTGTCCCAATGGTTTGGAGAGAGCCTACAAATCATATTAATGATTGTTATTTTTGCATGGTACCTTGTGTTGGACAAGCCACAGGTATGTCCAAGAAAAAAAATCGGTTATTAACTACCCAAACATACCATCTGCGATGAGACCTGTGCCTCACAGTGACGAAAATCCTATTCCAAAACCCCCAGAATCCTACACTTGCGAATCAGGAAACGAATCAGATCATGGCGATCGAGTGATTCGTCAGGAAGAAGATATGCCATCAACGTCAAGAGATCCTGATTTTATACCGAGCACGTCATGCCACCAACCGCAGAAAATAACACAGTCAGAATTAAATGATCTTGTAAGAGATTTAGAACTTCCAAAATGTAAGGCAGAGTTACTTGGATCAAGACTGCAGCAGTGGAACTTGTTAGAAGTCGATGTTTCGGTATGTGTTTTTCGTAAACGCCACAAAGACTTAGAACCATTTTTCAGTATGGAGAATAACTTGGTTTTCTGCAGTAAGATTAACGGCTTACTGGCGACTTTAAATACAAACTATAACCCAGAAGAATGGAGATTGTTTATAGACAGTTCAACATTGAGTTTTAAAGGCAGTGTTATTGCATATTGGAAATATTTTACCATCTCTTCCTGTAGGGTATGCAGTTCACATGAAAGAATCATATGACAATATGAAGTACCTATTGACATGCATAAAATACGATGAGCACCAATGGCATATTTGTGGCGATTTGAAAGTTGTTGCACTTTTACTTGGGCTGCAGCTGGGCTACACAAAGTTTTGCTGTTTTTTGTGTGAATGGGACAGTCGGGCAAAGGCACTTCATTACACCAGACAAAACTGGCCTGTTCGTCAATTCCTAGAGCCAGGTCAAAAAAATGTACAGCATATGCCATTAGTAGATTTGAAAAAAATTTTATTACCACCACTGCATATCAAGTTGGGCCTAATGAAAAACTTGGGTCAGCTTTTCAATACCTGCGTCAGAAATTTCCAAGACTAAGTGAGGCAAAGGTTAAAGAAGGTATTTTTGTTGGGCCACAGATTCGAAATATTTTGAAAGATACACAGTTTGAAAACACTTTAACAGGTATTGAAAAAACTGCTTGGAATGATTTCCGTCTGGTGGTCACTAATTTCTTGGGAAATAGAAAAGCTGACAACTATAAAACCCTTGTCAAAAATATGCTGTCATCATATCAAAAAATGGGCTGTAATATGTCTCTTAAGATATATTTCCTACACTCACACCTGGACTTTTTTCCTGACAATTGCGGAGCCGTAAGTACGGCGCACGTTTTCATCAGGATATTTCAACAATGGAAGAAAGATACCCAGGAAAGTGGAATCCTTCCATGCTTGCAGACTACTGTTGGATTCTTGGAAGAGATGGTCCAGAAACGATCCATAAAAGAACAGCAAAAAGACAGCGCATATAGTGATTCTTATAAGTATATGAATCTTGTTACTTTTTTTAATATATCCTTAAAAATAAATAGTTTTTTTTCTAAACCGCAACTAATATTTTTATTTCATTGTCATTTTTGGATTCAGCGCCCCAAAATTAACTAAGAAGTGCACTTTTCCCACAAGATACAATTAAAAAACTAAAATTTGTTGTCCGGTGTTATAAGAGATGCGAAAACAAATAGAGAAGGATTACTTTATCATAAGAAACTCCAATGCTTAGCATTCGCTGACGATTTAGTGATCATAACCAGAAGTAAGTAGGAATTATGCAAAGTGACGAAGAGGCTGGAAGACAAAGCACTGTCAATGGGTTTGGATATTAACGAAGAAAAAACTAAGTATATGAAGTGGACAGAGGAAGAGTTTAAAAATGAGAGGTTAACAGTAAAAGCAGCCAGTGGCAAAACTTACCAATTTGAAGAAGTAGAAAGGTACACATATTTAGGAACCGTTTTTAAAAGAAGACCAGATATTGCGGAAGAAATTCAGAATAGGCTGATGATGGGTAACCGCTGCGTTTACTCACTGAATCGACTACTAAAGAGTAAAATCGTGTCCAGAAAGGTTGTATAAACTATTATAAGACCTATTATCATCTATGGCAGTGAAGTATGGACGTTAAATAAAGCAGAACAGAACAAAATCGCTATTTGGGAGAGAAAAATCTTACGCAAGATATTCGGTGGGAAGCGGGAGTGCGGTAGATGGGTGCGGAGAACGCACAAAGAACTGCAATCTCTTTATGGTGAACCTGACATAGTAGGAACAGTGAAAGCTCAAAGATTGAGATGGTCGGGACATGTCCAAAGGATGACGGAGACCAGAATACAAAAAAGAGTACTAACGAGCAATATTGGTGGAAAAGAGAGGCGAGGAAGACCGAAAACCAGATGGATAAAGGAAGTGGAAATGGATATTCAAGAGTTAAGAATTAACAATCGGGAGAAGGCAGTAACAAGAAAAGCTGGCGACAGGTTACCACTCAAGTCATGGGCGTATTACGCCTGCAGTGCTTAACTATATATATATTGAGGAGCCAGAAAGTTTTGTACCATATCACGGTAGTGCCCAGTGACAGTAAGAGAATTACCTGCAGCGTCTTTAAAGAAGTGAGGTCCGATGATACCTCCACACCAAACACCGCACCAAACTGTGCGTGTGATGTAATGGTCGTTGATGGATGCCCAGATCGCTTATCAGTTGTCGGTAAAAATCGTTATTTTGGGCGTCTTTCATGGTCTTGAATCTAGTATAGTCGCAAATGTCTTTTTTTAAAATAGTTCATAATGACGTGCGACGAATACCCAGTTTTTAAGAACGATGTCTGGTAGATGTCTCAGGGCGCCCCACTACACTTTCACGTAGCTTCCGAATCGTTGCTACAATCGACTCATTATTTAAGTAAAACGTTTAAACAATATGGACGCGTTGTGGGATCGTGAAGGGCTCCATGATGAATTGGACACAAGTGCTTTAAACAACAACTACGGCGCCACCCACTACAATGCTTGTATAAAAAATGGCGCGCAATTTAAATCAGTCAGTTATATATCGGCCTTCCTGTACAAGTTGAAACAGATTACTCATATTGCGTCTTAGATTTATAGGAGAGTAGTAAGTCCCAGTAACGTATTCCCATTTGACAAAACACACACCGAACCCCTGCAAATATCGGAAAGCCACTGGACAGGGTGAACGACTCGAAGGAATATTGCGATTTGAAGAGACCATCGAGTTCGATCAGAAATCCATTGACAGGAACTGGACTCAATTCCAATGACGAATACAGGTTTAAAGGAACCAAACGAAGAGGTAAACATTGAACTTTGTGAAATTATGCATTAGAACGTAATCGTAAAAACTTGAGACAACGCAATTTTTTAAACGATATGATCTGAAAAAAAATGGACATCGGCTACTTCCAGTGATGAAATTACGCTTTGACAAAAAAAGAATAGACGAAAATAACGCGCAAAAGGTCAACACATCATTATCTTAAAATCGGACATTTTACAATATTTCCCTCGCCAACATAATGATGTAAATTATACAACATAATGTATATAAATTATATCAAAATTCAATAAGTAATTCTGAGTGTTGCATTTTACATGTCACTTAGTATACAGGGTGTTTCAGTTTATTGTTGCATAACTTTAATATTTGATAAAACTTTTAAAATTAATGCATAAAGTCTATATAAACATGGGTCGAAAAATGCGTGGCTTCCGAAATACAGGGTGTTTAAATTTACTTTCTGAAATAGTTTTTTTTAAATATTCCGATCAATATTTGACGTATAACAGTGAAAATTGGTGTACAAGGGTTTTTTGGTACGACAAAACGAACCATGGGCATAGTTTTACTGTAGCCGCTAGAGAGCGCTCTCTACTGTACCTGTAGTGTATTAAAATGACCGAAAAAATTTTCTTAGCGCAATTTTTTGCTTTTTGAATAAAAAAAATGATTCTTCGCCCTTTTTAACATAAAAAAGCTCTCTTGTGAATGTTCGTTATGGTTAGTCGTTTTTGAGATATTTCGATTTGTAAGGTTCGATGCATTTTAATTATTTGTGATAAAATAACGTTAAAAAGTCAGTATCTCGATAATTTTTAGAAGTAGGCTGTGCCTGCAAATATTTTTGAAATTGAAAGCAGAATAAGGTTAAACGTCAATTAGTTGACAGTTAGTTTTGTTGTCTGTTGAAACCTGAAAGGTTTTTTTTGCAATTGTGAATGCACGAAATTTAGTTTCTTTTACCTGTTTTTTTTTGTAAGTTTTATAAAAATGCCATTTTTATTCTCCAATCAAGAGTTAGCGGATATTCATTTTGTGTAAATGGAAATGCAGCAGAAGCAGCCAGAGAATACGCACGAAGATTTACAAACAGACGACATCCAACTCGCTCAGTATTTGTAAGAGTGCATCGCCAAATAATTGAAAATGGTTTTGGAAATCTCCAAAGGGATCAAAACATAAATGTTCGTCAGCGCAGATTCTGCGTGAGTTTGATAGAGATCCGACCACAAGTGTTAGGAGAGTTTCTGGTGCCTTGGGAATTTCAGCAAGCCATGTTCACCGTGTTCTTAGAAATGACCATAGTCGTCCTTACCATTTGCAACCTGTGCAAGGACTACAGCCAGGGGACGGAGAACGAAGAATCACATTTGTCAGTGGATTCTTGATAGAACTGATAATAATAGGGAGTTTTTAAGTACCATTTTATGGACCGATGAGTCATGCTTCACTAGACGTGGAGTGGTGAATTTTCATAATCAACATATTTGGTCGCATGAAAATCCGCATGCATTTCGGGAAAGAAATTTTCAGCATGAATTTAGTGTGATCGTGTGGATTGGTCTCTACCGTAATCGACTATTTGGACCCTACCTTTTGCCTGCAAGGTTAAATGCTGCGACCTTCTTGGAATTTTTAAAGGCTGAACATGCAAATATGTGGGATGATGTTATGTTAGATTTAAGAAGATTGGCCTGGTTCCAGCTTGATGGTTGTCCAGCTCATTATTCGAGAATAGTTAGAAACTGGCTGGACGAAAATAATCCAGAAAGATGGATCGGCCGTGGAGGACCAGTCGTCTGGCCTCCACGATCCCCTGACCTAAATACATTAGATTTCTTTGTGTGGGGATTTCTAAAAGAAAAAGTGTACCAGACTCCCGTAACCACAAGAGATATGCTAATAGACAGAATCAGGAACGCATGTGATGAAATAAGGCCTTATTTGAATAATGCTATACCACGTTCGATCATTCATAGATGTGAATTGTGTATTGAACAATTGGGTTTACATTTCGAGCGACTACTTTAGATTTTGTATGTTTGTCCTAACTATCCAATAGCATTTTAGTTGTAAATAATTAATTTAATTTGTTAAAAATAATATTGGAAAATTAAACAAATTAATATTCTGTTTTTTGTGTTTATTTGGAGTTAGGAATTATCGCTGTGTTTAAAAACACAATCTAAACGATCATCTTAATTACTTGTAATGCCCAAATCGAAAATGTAAAAAAAATATTATTTTCCCATAAATAATTAAAAATGCATCGAACCTTAAACATAGAAATATCTCAAAAACGGCTAACTATAACGAACATTCACAAGAGAGCTTTTTTATGTTCAAAAGTGCGAAGAATAATTTTTTTTATTCATAAAGCAAAAAATTGCACTAAGAAAAATTTTTCGGTCATTTTAATATACTACAGGTACAGTAGAGAGCGCCCTCTAGCGGCTACGTAAAACTATGCCCATGGTTCGTTTTGTCATACCAAAAAACCCTTGTATACTAATTTTCACTGTTATACATCAAATATTGTTCGAAATATTTAAAAAAAATTATTTTAAAAAGTAAATTTAAGCACCCTGTATTTCGGAAGCCACGCATTTTTCGACCCATGTTTATATAGACTTTATGCATTAATTTTAAAAGTTCTTAAGTTATGCAACAATAAACTGAAACACCCTGTATATTTCGTCAGCTCAAACGGATGATAAATATCCTCGACATGAACAAATAAAGAAAAGTAAATTTGAACAAAAATGCTTTCACTACGAGTGATAGACAATGAATTTATCCGAAAAGGGTTACCTATCTGTTAACACCGCATTTATCTATAAGCAAACAAGAACAGAGTTTAGGCGCCATTAGCTGTTTTGTGGACGCCTCGTTTTTAGTTACATCTATTACCTCCTAATGTTTACCTTGTCTGTATTCTCTCGGTATAACTACTCTTTGCCTGTACTTCAATCCGATCTTTCTACGCTCTAAAGGAAATGCCTGGCACTCGTTTTAAACAACGCTTGGTTGGACAAATAGACTAATTATACTGGTATTGTCTGTTTATTTCCAATTCTGAATGATTTTGTTTTAGATGGGAATCCTGTGCTAGGCGTAGGTTATACTCCCGAAGCGATGCCATCTTCCCAGAGAATACCTCCTGGTGGATACTCTCACAAGCTTTGGTGATGATCACTTTATGCAAGAATAAATTCCCAGTGACACCTTTTGAATTACACATATGTAAATGTAATAATGGAATGGAGTAAGAAAAGATAAAGTACTGGAAATGACAAAGGGGTATTATCTAAAATGTTAATTTTAACGGAATATCATTCTTTTCGGTCAACAAAATTGATCCTGAATGTTTTCTGTGGTGAAACTTGTCCACAGTTCAAAAACTTATCAACTATAAAACAAAGATGACGCAATAATAATCGATCAGCTTTTCCCGATGAAATCGCCCTAAATATTTCATATCAAACTGACAACTTTAGAGCATAAAGATGATTTGTTTTACACCTAACGGAAGCATAGCTTCCCTCCATGTCGGAAGCAGGAACTTTGGAAAAAATATATCTTCCTAAAAGGGGATAATGTTGAAAATTAAAAAGAATTTTTTTGGAAAAAATATGTCTTTATTTCTAACCCGGGTACTTATCGAACCGCCCTCGTACATGTCGCTAGAGGCTGGAACCTTTAACTACGAGGGTTGTCTCAAAAATATGGCGATAAAGGGCTCCATTGCGCGTGGCTGTTAGGCCGATACTGAGCGTCGCCAACAGGTTGCTTCTTGTTGGGATCGGTGGTGGGGGACACGACAAACACGACGCTGTTGCCAGATTTCGTCTAGCATCAGGCGTGGCAAAGATACAGTGCCGGGAACTTTATTTCGAGACCACCTTATTCTATGCAAATTTGTTTTTATATTTGATGCTGAGACTTCATTTCCACAACGAAAGCAGCCAAAGCGAGCATGTCATTGTCATTCATTGTGCTTTAAAATGTTACCGTTCAAGTCCGTTTGTACGTTGGTTTGTGCTGCCATGAATACAAGAATACAGTCACGTATAGGTACCATGTCCTTTATGTGTAATTGTATACTGAATGACAAAAAACGTAAATACCTACGCATGTTTATTATAATTCAAGAATTTGTTACATATCGATTTATCTTGCCATGAACAACAAGTGATAAAATGGTCAGGTTTTTTCTGTTAAGTGTTTGTGGTGGCTGCGTGTATTGTTTGGTGATAAAGCAGCGTTCAGTTTTCGTACACTTACGGTGTCAGTTAAAACGTTGAATTTCGTGTACCCTATTGAGAAGCTTTTTTGTGATTGCTCAAAATGCCTAGAGTGCGTGGGATTCGCCGGGTGTCAAAGCTAAGTGACTTTGAGAGGCGTCAAATTGTCCGGTTGCGTGAGGCCGGTCTATCGATAAGAAAAGTTTCTAGGAGGACCACCACGATCGCCTGACCTATCTCCAATTGAACATGTCTGGGACATGATAGGTCGCAGGCTCTTGAATTTTCAACACCCTTCAGAAACTTTAGCAGCCCTTACTCAAAAGTTGCAATAGCCTGGAATGATATAATCCAACAGGACATCGACCACCTTACCACCACGATGCCTAGAGTGTATAAGAAATCGTGGATCCGCAAAGTTGGGTTTTCCTTTTCAGAAACAACTACCCTTGAAATAACAGGTAATGTGTAGTGAAACGAGGGCGACCAAGTAAAAAAAATAAAGGAAAAAGTACTCACTCTCCAGTTGACGAGAAGGGCTAAGTACGTCTCTGCCCGAAATCATACCGCTCCAACAGAAAATATAATCAGCTGATGCGCTACCGAGCAGACGCAGAAACCACATTGATTGTCTTACACTTAATGGCACACTTCTAACAAGGAAGGCAAAATGTTGCGTAAAAAGTCTAGGTATTGCATCCCGTCCAATCGATTTGGGAGAATAAATGGTCCAATGAGCATACCGTTCACCATGCCAGCCCAAACATTCACCGAAAATGTTTGTTGAAAATGTGCCCGAAGGACAGCGTGCGGATTTTCTACTGACTAAACATGAGTGTTGCGAAAGTTATTCACCCCATTACGGGTGAACGTAGATTCGTCTGTCACCAATATGCACTTCAAAAAGTCCGGATTATTGTCATGTTGATGCAACAACCACTCACAAAACCGCACTCTTGCTGGAAAATCGTCAGGTTTAAGGGCATGTACACGTTGGACGTGAAACGGATACAGCACTTCTCTAGCCACGTCTCTAGTGCTTGTTGAGGGATTCTCGTGTACGCGATTACCTCTACACGCGTGACCGTAACCATCGGTTGAAGGTTGCATACGGACCTGACACACTGACCCCGACCCAGTTCTGTCGTCGGGTTGAGCTAGTGCCTTGTACCAGTCGGTGATGTCGCGGCTACAGGACGGTATTCAGATATTTTTGATGTTGCAGAGCCCTTTATCTCGGTTCCCTTAAGACATTGGTGTATAAGGTACTAAGAAATATTGCTTATGTTTTCAAGATCTACACGTCGTGTAAAGGAAAACCCCAACTTTGCGGACACCCCGTATTATTGAAACAGCTTCAGCAGTCAGATGACGAATCAAGCTGGAAATTTGATCATTTTACTAGTAAGGTACACTGGACATACATATATGCCAAAATTATTAAAATCGGATAAAGATACGTAGGTGTTTACCTTTTTTCGTCAATCAGTATATGAAAAAAACTATGCAGGCTTACTTTTCAACTATGGAAAGAAATAATCGGTCGATAGTCCGATACCGTCAAAATATCGGCCTGTGATGCATCGCTATCGGCAGAATTCTCTATCTAGTACATTGATTCCCAAAGTGGTCTATATCGACCCCTAGGGGTCTATGACAACCTGCAAGGGGTCTACGTCAGCGAAAAAAAAATTGGGGGGTCCATGAAATATTTATTTCATGGGGGTCCACGATAGTGGATCACAACACATACACTGATAGTACCTATTTATTATACTTACATCATACTATCTTATAATATCAAAACATATACATTATTATAAAAGTACCTATGAAGTAAAAAATTTATTATATATGTTTATAAAATTGTGTAAGTTGTAGGATGTTGGTATTCGCTTTGTGGTCGCAATACATTTTGAACTTGTAAAACCAGAGAGTCGTCACTCTATAAATACGAATGTGGGACAAATACGTTTATTCGTTTCCTGAATCTTGAAAAGGAAAGTGCTAAGAAAATATTTTAAAAAAATATAAACAGATAGTATATCACAAAATTATAGTGAGTCAGTGTTATTTTGTTTGAGAGTGCTGGAGAAAAGTAAGTACATTATTTTTTATTGAATTTTAGTTTTGTACTCGTAGTTAGCAAAGATAGATAAATTACGCCAATCATGACTTTATTTATTAGTAGTTAAATATTCAATCATGCAAAATTACATGAGTACTCCTCAATAGTTTCTTTTTGAAAGTTTTAGCAATCGATAATATAATTACAGTGCAATCTCCGTAATTCGAGCTTATTGTTGCAAGAAGATGTTCGAATTATGGAATGTTTTCGGAAAAATCACAAAATATTTTTAATATACAGCTGCTGGATTTTCTGTCTTATTTAAATAATTTAATTTTGCCCACAGATGACTGATGCCGTGTCCGAATCTAAAAAGAAATGTAGACAGTACAGTGTTGACTATTTGAAATTTGTCTTCATTCCATCATTGCCGGACAAAACAATCGCCTATGTGCCTTTTATGCAACAAAGTTTTGGGCAATGACGCTATGAAACCATCTAAGTTGCAAGATCATCTGAAAAGATGCCACCCTGATAAAACAGAGAAAGATTTGAAATACTTTCAAACACTCAAAGATAAATTTCAGAAGAGACCTACACTGGACAGAATATTCGCTTCGACGTCACAAAGAAATGATGATGGTTTGCGGGCGTCTTACAATATCTCGTTACTTATAGCAAAATCCGGAAAACCGCATACTATCGTAGAGAAGTTAATTTTGCCAGCCGTTGAAGAAGTTTTAAAAACTGTTTTACACAAACCTGCATCTGATATCATTAAAAGAATTCCTTAAGCAACAATACTGTTTGAAAGACGTATTGATGAAATGAGTTCTGATATTGAAAGCTTCTTATGTAATTATTTGCAAACGACCCATTTCTCTATACAACTGGACGAGTCAACTTTACCTGATAATGTAGCATTATTATTGGCATATGTTCGTTTTATTATGAATCAAGAAATCTACGAAGAACTGCTCTTCGCAAGAACTTTGATAACCGACACTAAAGGTGAAGCAATATTTCATGTTTTGAAGGATTACTTCATTGAAAAAGCAATTCCTTTATCAAATATAATATCAGTAGCTACAGATGGAGTACCTGCCATGGTTGAACGTTATCGTGGATTTATAAGCTTTAAAACAAAATGTGTCAGGGGTGTTAGCAATATATTGCGTCATCCATCGACAACATTTAGTTGCTAAAAATTTGAGTGTAGATTGCATGAATCACTTCATTTAGTCATTGATGCAGTAAACCGAATCCGAAGCAACGCGTTGAATACGCGATTATTTGCGCAGTTGTGTGAAGAAAATGACGAACACTTTCATCAATTACTCCTTCACACTGAAGTACGCTGGCTGTCGAAAGGCTTATGTTTGACAAGATTTTTTGCACTTTTTGAGACTATTTTAGAATTTCTGGATACTAAAGATAGAATTTTAAAAGAAAATTTAATGAAGAGGAAAACAGACATCGCCTATTTAACAGATTTGTTTACAAAATTTAATATGGTTAATTTGCAATGACAAGGCGACAGTTTAAATTTGATTAAAACAAAGTCCATCTTATCATCTTATTGGTCAGACACCTGTTTACTTAATGTTACGTATATTTTACATAACAGATACAAAATTTTATTTTGAGTAGTTTTAATTTAAATTCAATTAACATGTGTTTTTACTTTAAGTTTTTAACACTAAACTTCACTACAGTTAGAAATTTACAGGAAATCAATATCAGGTAAGTAGGGGGTCTACCCAACACGGAAAAACATGGCAAGGGGTCTACGACACAAAAAAGTTTGGGGAACTCTGATCTAGTACATAATTGGTTTTCCATGGTTAAAAGATAGTTTAACACCAATTCATCAAAATCCCTAATTTAAGATTTCAACTATCTTAAATTGTATTCGTACTAGTATTACAGAATGATTGTATTCGCTGATATTGTTTTTTGTTTTTTCAAAATATCCATTACTCGCCTAGTGCACACCAAGTACGACCTTATGTTAAACCGTTTTATGGCCTACGTCTAGAGGTACTAAATGAGATATAACACACAGAATTCAGGTGCTACGTGTACTAAATGAGCTTCAGTAGCGCTACGTGTGATTCACTCACCTGGCACATCTTCTAATGGTGTTACGGATATCAACACCAACCACTGTCTTCTCATCTTTATATCCAAGCTTTTACTTCTGTTATAAACTCTATACTTCCTCGCTCTCAGGCGAGGCTCGTACATAACGTCATTATAGTCAGGCATTTTTCACGGTGTTTTCCGCACAAATTATGCACAATATACTACATGTTTATTGGTCGCGGAAAATCGACACTTTTAAAGATAATCAAAAAATGGCGATACAAAAAATATCGTATTTAAATATTTATTATTTTAAAAACGGTGACACTTTTATATAGGTAAGTGTTTGTTATTTGAGACGTCAGTCCAAAGCCTACCTCCACCTTAACTTTGTCGTGGTACTTATATATATATGGTCTATGCTCTGTTGTCTGAGTAATACAACAATTCTTAATGTCAAAGGTAACTTAAAACTAAATATAATGACATACGTGGATCTTGAGTAAATAAATTATTAGAAGGTTTTAAGTTCATCGCGGAACATAATGTCTTATTAACATTGAAAGTGAATTAATTGTTGTCATACCATTTTAAAAAAATCATACCAATGCCTTTAATTTTTTTTAAATAATTATTTCTGACGGAATGTCGAAACAAAAGCCCTCTGGCGGCCACATGTGAAACTAACAAAGCTTCAAATATTATAAAATCTGCAGCCCAAAAATAGCTCTTTTCGACTAGCCCAAGTTTTTTGCGGAAATGAATACCCCCCACCACTTCATTTTTAGAAATACAGCAAAAATTGTTACACAGAAAAAGTTCAAATTATCCTCGTCTTTAAAGATCAGGTATTTTTTGCTAGGTTACCACGAGCCGCTTCCCATTTCAGTTGGCCCAACAATTGAAATCTTAGTTTTTTTTCTTATCAAACACAATTAATAAAAATGTAGTAGGGTGTTATAGGTTTAAAATATTAACAATGAATATTTTGATAATATACTAAGTGACATATAAATCCGAACACCCAGTTTAAATAGTTTTATTTTAACAAAATTCTGTATAAGTACTTAATGAAGCATAATAAGTAAATGATAAAAATTTCAAAATGATTGATTGCACTGCTTTAAAGCCCTTTGACTTTAATAATGTGTGGATGCACCCTGATGTGCTACGCATTCTCCAACGCGCCTAGGCATGCTTCTGATCAGGTGGTCAATGTCCTCCTGTGGTATCTCATTCCAGGCAACCACCAACTCCTCTGGAAGTGCTTCTAGAGTCTGAGGAGGACGTTGCAAATTATATATATAATCATATCCCACACGTGCTCAATTAGGGATAAGTCGGGAGATCTTGGTGGCCATGGTAACAATGTGACATCATTATGTTGAAAGAAGTCTATTGTGACTCTTCCAACATGTGGTCGGGCATTATCTTGTTGGAAAGTTGGATCTGCCAGGGTAAAAGATGGGGTTCTAGAACTTCGTGGATATAACGCTGTGCGTACATGTTACCTCTGATGAAGATTAAAGGTGACCTGGAACCATAAGCTATAGCACCCCAAACCACAACTCCAACAGTGTGATGAACATGTCTTTCAACAAAAAACTGTGGATTCCTCCTTTCACCACGTCGCCTTCTAACCCTGGCACGACCATCGTGCATGCCTAAACAAAATCTAGACTCGTCACTAAAGACAATACTGTTCCATTCCTAATCCCAGAGTGACCGTTGTCTGCACCACTCAAGGCGATTACGTCGGTGCGCTCGAGTTAAAGGGAGGACCCAGTGTGGCCGGTATGAAAACAAGCCAAAATTTCTCATTCGTCGGTAAACCCTTCGCATGCCAATAGGTCTTCCGTGTTCTGCAAACCATTCATTTTCAATGGACCTGGTAGTGGAGAAACGGTCCCTTAAGGCCAATAATCTTAGGCGGCGATCTTCACGGTCTGTTGTTCTACGGCGGCGTCCAGTGCCCCTTGCTCTTTGCGTACGGCCTTCTCGAAGCCATGCCTGACAACACCTAACCACAGTCTACACTTCTTTGCACTCTAACTGCAATTGCCCGAAAAGAAAGTCCAGCTTCCCGAAGTCATACTATACGGCCCCTATCAAACTCACTAAGTTGACGAAATCGTACAGGTCTCCGTACTCTAGGCATCGTAACCGATCGTAAAGGATGTCAAGAACCAAAATCCGCCAACGTTGATTCTTTACTGCGGCTGAAATATTCATTTTTAGAGCGTTAGTGAATTAAAAAAAAGCAGTATAAAAACCGGAATGTCCAACTGATAAGGCTGAAAATTTTTTTACTTGTTATTTACAGTAAGATAAATACATTCACCAACTTTTATTAAAATAAAACCATTTAAACTGGGTGTTCGGATTTATATGTCACTTAGTATATTAGTCATAGGTCTAAGTGATTTCAAATATGTATTTTTTACGACTAGAGTGTATCTAAAATGCTTTGGGAAATAAATTGTTTTAGAAGTAAATAATTTCGTCATGTTTACTTTATAAAGGCATATTTTGGTACAAATCTTGAAGTGGGCCAACTGAAGTGGGAAGGGGCTCGTATAGCGAAATTTTTTGCTGTTAACCCCCTCATTCTTAGTTGGCCAGCCTGTAGTTGTAGTTACACAATGAGGAAAAGCAAAAAGGGGAAAGCTGGCAGTGTAAATGCACCGAGTAAAATACTTTTCCAATATTAAGCACCACTTGGTACAAGCAACTCGCGGGCCCACTCTAACAACTTTTTGCAAATTCACGTATCCGGTATCATCGAATTTTGGCACCTCACTCAAACTTATGTTCTCTAATCGCACGTCTATAACCGCACTGTCCAGCACCTGATCATTATGCGTCTATCTATAATTAACGCGTATTTTCTAGCGGAACGAAAAGGAAAAAATCATCGACGCGTGTCAAACTCGAACTACACAATGATGACACCGCACGACTGAAAATCACTGAGCGATTTACGACTAAATTTACAGTCGAAAAAGTTAGAAATAGTCGTGATTATGCAGCAATATTTTAACAGACGCATACAACGGTGTAGTCGTTTGTCAAAACAAATATGCGAACTAACGCGCGCACGAATTATTACCGGATTATAGTGCCTATAAAATTTAGTTAGGAACCAGGTATCAGATACACATCAGTAAATTGAGAATAAAAGTAAGTTATGACGAAAGAAATTCAACTGCTTCAAAAATGGGGTTTGTTTGTTTTAAGATTTATTAGCATGATTGCTACAATTACATTCTTCTAAAAACTAAACAATTACATAACATACAGATATACAGAAAAAAACAAAATTTGCATATCGAAGAATTTCATTGTCCATGAAATATTCCTTTAATTTTCTTTTAAATATCTTTAAATTACCAGCAGACTTTATATCATTATTTAGTTTATTGAATTCAAGTAATCCTTTCTGAAATATTGATTTGCTAGTTATATTACTATTGCAATTTTCTAAATGAAAATCTACATTTCGTCTTATATAATAATTGTGGTAATGATTATTTAATTCTATGTACGAGTAGTGTTTTAAATGTTCCGGCAAAACATGATTTTTTTATTTTAAATATAAAAATAAGAACCAAATATCATATGAAATTTTTTATATTCAACCACCGCAATTCTTGTAACATAGATTTATTTTGGTGTACTTATGTTTATTCAATATTATTCTCATAACTTT